AGTGAAGGAGTGAAGGAGTGAGGGAGTGAAAGAGTGAGGGAGTGTAGGAGTGAAGGAATGATGCAGTGAAATCGTCCCACCACTACAACTTGGAAAAAATATTCTCCACGTTAAAACCGACAAAAGTTTTAATTACTATTTGAAACTTGAAAATGATCTCGGCCAGATCGAAACCTTCTTGTTTATCTCTAGTCTTTATCCTAAAATTGAAGGGATGCCTCGAAAAAGACCCAAACGACTTCAGATAAATTGCTAGGTTTTCCTTCCCGATTGTCTTGTATTCCCTTGTGAATCACAAGAAGAGTTTGACGTTACATCAACAGTCACTTGGGGCCTATTCTGTGCATCCCTACAAGAGACCATATTCGTATTCTTGGTATTGGACTGGAACTAGCTTGGAATGGAGGTTCCTGCGGGGAATATCATTAAAAGGGATAAATTCTATTTGCATTTGAAGACTCCCCGCATTAGCCTCGGTTGCAAGATAGTCAAGTCCAATATCAAGATTATGAGAATATGACAACAACAACAACAACAGCAGCAACAATGCTTTATTTACTCTTCACACTTAATACACATTTGGGAAGAAAATTACAATAACTTAGGGAAAAGGTATGTGTTTAAAGTCGAGCCAGGGGGATAAATGAACTTCGCGGTTTTCGAGTTATTCCCCTGCCTTTGACGTGCAAAACAAAATAAGACCAAGGGAATGAAAGAGACAAGTAAATCAAGTGCAAACACAGGGAGACAGACCGAACTATATGAGCAGTGGATATTCGAAGGAATTGAATGTTCAAATTGTTAGTTACTTCATGCTATTTTAGAGTTGTTCAGAGAAGAGATGAATATGGTCGATTGTGAAATCAGTTCACTAGAACATCCTATCTAAATCCTATGACATTTAAAATATCTTGGTTACATCAACCCTGGGACTAATACATTGGATGACAAGATGAAAGCACTCAGTGCTTTCTAGCTTGGTGAAGGAGGCCAGTTGAGATCTTGCTCCAGTTGGTGCTCTAATATTCGAAAGAAATTCTTAGGATGTGACTTGCAGAAGATGTAATTGAGTAGTTTCTTTAGCCATTGAGAAGGGACAATGTAGATCTAGTAAAAAGGAAAGAATACAATAGACAAATTACATCGTTATTACGCTCTGATCACTCAACTGACCTTTTTTTATTCCTCAAATGAACACCACTAAAATTGAAAATGTATTTTAGTAAAAATGTCTTAATGAGAAGTAAAGTATACATGAAAGAGTCAGGCCATTACCAAGAAGCATTAATAACTACTTATTTACTGCCACAAATAGCTCCAAGGTCTACATTCCAGTCCCCAGTGTCTTGAGGTTGGGCTGAATCTGTACTTAAGTCTCTTGAAACTGGATCATCGGATAATGCAATTCAAGAGTTTTCATTGGCTTAGGCATCATGGTATATGAACAATAATTATTACATCAATAATATCATGCTCTACACTCACGGTAAGTGCACGGAAAATTGGAGCGTCTTCATTTTCATTTTTATTTTAGTTTTGAGGGTGTTTTTAATACGACAATGATTTCACTCGTGCTTGTTGGATATGAGATGATTTTAGCCAACTTGGCGCTAGGTGCCTTGTTGGCTGTCTTTTATCTCATATCCAGGATGTGCTTGTGGAATAATGGTTACATATTTAAGATGAGAACAGCGTAAATGCGCCCAGCCTGATCAGTTCCCATGTTGCCCTCCTCGTATTTTCTATGGCAGGTTGTAACTCATCTTCACAACTAGTCCATGATAAAAATAAATTACTTGTTTGCAAAGCCAGATGTAGTTAGAATAAATGCATCTTAAACTTCTACTCACCTCAATAAATAATGAAATGAGACAATTACAAGCTGCAATACCAACAAGCGTTAGCCTGAAGACTAAGTCAGGCATGGTTGCTAACTGGGGAGAGATCACGTTTGTAAGTCAATACTGATCAAGACTTCTCTTGCACAACACTTGGACAAAAAGGATAGGTTAACCCATTTTTGGGTATAAAAGACAAAATGAGAGATAAGACACTGGATTTAGCTATTCTCCCCTCCCCTATATTTTGGATGTAAAAGATACCAGGAATATCAGATTTTATATTACAGCTGTACATCAGTTTTCTGATATGTGGCTAAAATTACATTAGGTGAGAAAAAATGTACATATATTTTCTTTCTGAATATTATCTGTGTTAACTAGCCATAGCCCCTAGCCATATAACTGTCTTGAGTATGGCCTGTGACCTCAGGCCTGCCATACTCAAGACCTTGTACAGCTGTTTTAAAATGTTTTATACAGTAGAGCTACATGTATCATGCATAAAGAGAAATAAGCGCCAGGTCTTTGGTGGTGAAAGCCACAAAAATGTCCAAAGGATTCCTACTGTGTGATGTAAATGTGAGGACATTCTTTTATGACATGGACCATGGGTAGCCCAAGCATGATATTTACACATTAATGATATTTTGAAAATGTAAGGGTTGGTCTGAAATTTACAACTACGAGTTTTTGTCCATAAATTATGTTGAAATCAGGAAATAAAGTTCACAATAAACTTATGTTTCTACGTAATTTGAGTACGCCAGTAGATACAAGGTTCCAGGTTCTCTAAGGAACTAGCAGCACCATAAAAATCAAAAACAAGTTTAAAATTGCCATCATGAATGCATGAAAAACAAGATGGACCTCAAAAGTGTGGCCACCATTGGGTACCTATAGCAAGTGTGCGCTCTTCTTGTTTCAATTAGTTTAATTTATTATTTTATTTGAATTAAAATTGAATAAATGACCATTTATTGCCCATTACCTCAAAGAATTTCTGCAATACTTGTCCTGGAAGAACCACTAGAAATCCTGTAAACAGAGTTAGTAGCACAACGACCAGTAGAAAATATACTGAAAAGAAAAGCAAAGTGTTAAATGAAATCACACCATGTATAGTAACTGAGGAGTAAAGACAGGGACAGGGTATGGTTTTTGGCCTCACTGCCCTGAACAGGGTATTCAATTTTACTCACGTCTGTCCTAAACAGGGTCAGAACCTGTCCTTAACAGGGTATGGTATTACGAGTCGAGAGACGTTAACCGGCCATCACAAGGTCATCAATCAACATGAGCTCATTTTCTGGACAACAATGCTATTGTTGTCGGTAAAATTCTTTTTCCACTTATCAGTATTATAACAAACGCGTATTGACAGAATAGATCGTACCGGTAGGTCCAGTTACTTTGTTTTTCTTTGTCCTACACAAGGTAGGGTTTTTAGAGTATTTTTGTCCTAAACGGGGTCAGGATCTCAAACCCTCGGCGGCAACCCATACCCAAACATGGGTCAAGTCCCTGGGATGAAAGGTAAGAGAGTTAATATACCCCAAATCGCAAAAGTTATATTTAGATCACTCTCGGTTTTAGAAATCCCATTAGGTTTTAGAAATAACCAATCCTGTGGTACATGTTACTCACATGGACAGTCTAAGTGGCTTTTCGCTCACTCTCAACCTCCACAAAAACATCCATGCAGTTTGAGTGGTAACATTATTTCCAGAAGAATCAGGTACCATGTCTAACACTAACTTGACAAGGATTACCTTGGGAACATGGCCTACATCGGAGGTAAAGACTCTTACCTTTCAGCCTTTCTTTGTCACTTGCCATTCTATTTCTTTTACAAGAAAAGATTTTTGGCTCTAAAGCATTGAATCAGTAAAGTGAACATTACAGGCTCATATCCTGTTGGAACCCTGTATTGTTTTTAGGATTTTTGTAACTACTGCTTGAACTCCAAGCACCACTGATATAAAAACTTATTTTGTTCAGAATTTGAAATTTATTAGTTTCAATACTTATTTTCTGACCCAGTAAGGACATACAGTGTAACCTGTAGACAAAACATTTTGATGTCACTCCATTTCGAGTAAGATTTGGTGTGAATTTAGTCTGGTTACCATATGTAACACATTCATTTACTTACCACTTTTATAAAATGGTTTTCGATAAGGGGCTCTTCCAGAGAAAACAACTGACAGCTGAATATACTGGAAAGATGACAGTGCAAACACAACAGCATTCTGATGACACTTGACATATGTACTATTCTTATCTGTTATACGCACTGCCTCAAACCTGAAACAAAGTTGTGGTCAAATATTATTTATTGTTTAAATTTGCAACTGTTAAATCATATAGACACAATAAATCAACCAGACAACTTGGTTACATTTAATGAGAGGAAGCCTCAAGTTATTTTGAATGATATGGTATTTAGTGACAGGAAACACAGTGGAATCTCATTAACCTGGTCACCAACGGGCCACAAAAAAAACTGTCCATATTAACTGGGTGGCCGTATTAAAGGGGTTCTTTAAAAAAAAAGAATGACTGGCTGAGCTTTAGCTCGGGCCAAAGTAAAGTGGCTGTAATAATGAGGTGGCCATAAGGTGGGGTGGCCGTAAGGTGGGTTTCCACTGTTGTTCATTTTGAGTTGGCTTTTTATGAAAATAAATTAAATAACCGATATGATCAGTTTCAGTGCAAATCCAAGTCATTTTTATAAGGAACATTTTTTGAGAATTCATGAGGAAGGCAACTCAGAAATGGCCAGCTGAGAAGCACATTGTTTTTGAGGTGGTCGCATGAAATCAAGATTATGTTGGTCACACTTTATGCTAGAGTTCTATCAGTCATTTTAAGCTGGATCAAATGGTCTATTCTGCAGAGAGGAACAAATAAACATCCTGGATACAACAAAAGAAGGGTTAGAATATGCAGCATTAAAGTCTGATCACAAGTGATCAGTTTCCAAATGCAGAGAGAGAGAGAGAGAGAGCTATGTGGAGTCATGAGTGACAACAGGGAAAGGTTATGTGACTTTTGTAGTGTGAACGGATTAGTCGTAACTGAAACAATATTCCCACACAAAGAGCATGACGAGATTCATGAGGATCTGAAATCATGGACCCCTGCCGATGTTCTACGGTTGAACCGTAAAACATCAGCAGGGGTTCTAGTTTATTCAACAGTGGGAATGAAATTCCTTGACGCCTCTTTTTAAGAAATCAATTTAATCAGAAACACGAACATGTCAAGTTGATAAAAAGAATACAGGCTCAGAAACTAGGACACAAACAGACATTTTAAAAATTACCTGGCATATTTATCTGCAAGGACAAAACACTGAGATTATTCAGTGGATTCATTAAAAAACCTGCCACTTCAGGTGGTGCATGTATTTGTTAATACAGGACACTTCGCTATAAACAAAACAACTTCTCTCACTGAAAACGGTGTCCTTGGGCATCGCAGGAACTAAATTCGGTGTTCAATTATAGTTTGATTGGTTAGGAAGTGAGCTCTTTTGCAATCACGTCTTTCCATTCAAAACAACTCGAAAAATATGGTATACGAACTGCTAGTAAGAAAATAAGAACAAGAATTTAATGGCGTACTATTCTATACACAAATTTAAACGATTGCCTTTAAATCTGGCTACAACGTTGGATCGACTCATATCACTTCAGGAACGGGACCCAAAAATGGACATTACAAACGTTTCCAAAGCGGTAAATATTGCTCTTAGAGCTCTGTCCCCTTTTACCAGTTATGATCTCTGGTGCGATGTACGGAAATCTTAGTTTTGACAGCCAATAGATTTTCGTTTGGAGTAATGAAGAAATCATAAGTTTGGCTCTACGTTTTCTCAGCTTTGTCTGACATCTACGTGTAATGTTGTCCCCTTTGTTTAAAAGGAATTGAAAATAAGGAAGTCATTAGAGAAATATTTTGACACAAAGCACCCTGGAAATGATATACCAAGAAGAACTGAGTTTTTGCTAGGAAATAAAACAGCTCCAAAAGTTCACCCTTGCCTCCTAAAAAAGAGTGATCACTATTTAGAATGGCTGACAGAAACAGCGGAGTGCATCGACTTTACGCACAATCCTAGTGTTTCTGGTAAGTACTTAAAATTTGCAGCACAATTTAAGGGCTGAGAACTGTAGAAAAATTACATTATCCTAGCAAAGGGACAGCAAACATGGTCAAGTGCGAGGTGAGCAAAAAGCACAACTTGCATGTGATGGTATAAGAGAAAAGAGAAACTATCAGGCCTCGTATCGCTTTTAGAGTCACTTGAACTCGAACGAGACAAGGGTCATCTCTTCAACCGTCAGGTTGTGCTGCCCTGGAAGCTGCAAAAGGAAAACTGCAAGGCAAGCCTTTCTTCAGTCTGAAATAATAATTGGTGAAGGGCACGATGTCAGGATTCTCAGCCTTACTGGCCATGGATTGGATCAGGAGGAGGGCAAAGGCAGATAAGAAAAGAGGGATATGATGGAATTTAATGCCAGTACTGGAGGACCTTGATATCGTAGATGGCATCAACCTACCAAGATTAAAGACTTGCATGAGAAGAGTGCGAAATTGACAGAGGAAGCAGCCAGAATAGGCCTTAAACTAAATGCAAGAAAATGTAAGACACTGAGGACTGAGTATGCCTAGTAACAGGGAAAGAATTGTGGTGACTGGTGTAGAAGTGGAAGATTTCAAGGAGTTTGTAGACTTATAGGAGCTACTGAAGACAAGGAGGGTAGAGGTAGTAAAGATATTGGGGATAGACCGTAGAAGGCATCCTGTGCATTGCAGAGACTAGAAAGGGTGCCAAAGAAAAATAGTTTTGGAACAGCAGTGTGGTGGATTCACACACCCTTGGTAGACAGGGGAAAGCTGAGAAGAGTCTGATCAGTTAAAATATACACCATCCAAACCTCAAATGAAGAGAGAAGGTGGATGAAGCTGATGAGATTTTGATGCTACTTACTGAAAGGTTACATTTTACAAAACTGTTTCTAAGATGCATTTCAAAATGTTTTGTTTGGCTGACTGACACAGGGTGACAGAGATATTTAAACATACAATCTATGAGTGGTTTATAATCAAACTGGAACAAATTTTAAACCCAAGAGCTTAAGTTTTCAATTTGATTTACTTTGTAATAAAATTCCAAACAAATTGACTTGCATGGACTAAAGCATGTGTAAAATTAATTTCCTTGTCTTACAGGTCCACTTACCATGGCTGAGACTGTACATAATAAAATCCACTGACTTGTACTGTAGTTTGAACAATAATTTGTGAAATCAGTGAGAAAAGAACTACTGGAGACATGAGACTTCCCCCAGGCCTTCGAGCCACTAACAAGGGGTAAGCTTCTGTTTTACCCACTGGAAAAAGAAGAAAGAAACATGTAGTTAAACTGAGTATGGGCTGATCATGCTTCTAATTAATACAGTTCACTATTTCACAGAGAATTCATACTTCGTGGGTCAGTGGAAAAGTTAATTGCAGTATTGCTCTCATTGGTTCCAGTAGCACATTTGTAAAGCTTTGGATTTTACTTTAAAGTTGCATCGTTAGATGCATAACTGCATGTACATAACTGCACATATATTAACACACGTGTATAAGGGGGGTTCTTGATCAAACAAATCTCGGCCTTATAAGATGCCTTGCTTTGCTCGGCGTCTTGGAGCCCAAGTTGTTTGAGTCCAGAACCCCCCTATACAAGTGTGTTAACTGTCCGTGCGATTATTGATCTAGGATTATTTTTCAATTGAACAAGCCGCCTGCCTTGGTATAAAGCAATCATGGCCGCGTCAAGGTTTTCAGCCAATTAAACACGCCAACGGTTTTGGTATAAATGGTTGCCATCTGCACCCACAAGGAACTGACAGCCGATTTTGCCGAAAGGTGTAACGAGGTAAATGAAGCCCTCGAAGAAACGTACACCCGCTTAGAAGAGCTCGAAGATTCTAACAAAATTTTAAGAAGCTTTGCTGCTTTTGAAGCAGGGTTTTTGGCTGTGAGGATGGCGATCGCTGTGATGAGGCTAGCTTTCGGCCTTGACAAAACAGAAAGCAATTGAAGCTTGGCGAGTCTTAGCTATAACAGAATGGGCCACGGAAGAAGAGGGCCAGTTGATCAAAGCTAAAAGAAGAAGCCTTGTGATGGCTGAAGTCATGAGTCTTCTGGAAGCTGAACCTGACTCGAAGAGTCAGCCAGGGCCTGACATTCCAGCCCTTCGTGAAGAGCTTACAATTCTGGTTTCCACAGGCAAAGCAAAAGAAGCCATCGGCATGCAGCTGACACAAGAGCAGGTTAAGTGCTTGGAAGATAAAGATGTTGAAAAGTACTACAAAAGGTACGAGACTTATGTGGGTGCCAAGACCACTCAAACCTTTGTTGATAGTTGTCTCTTGTTGTACACCAGGGCAGTTGGGATGTTTGTGCCAATTAAAGAAGTTGAAGCTTTGCAGAATAATCTTAAAAAAGATTATGTCATCACCAAAGAGTTGTCCACCCTTGTCAGAAGTCTTGCATTGAGATGTGGGCGGCTGCTTAAGGTAGCCAACACGGTGCTGATCACAACAAAACATAGAGATTTTGAGCAATCCTCAGCAACTGCTGCTGAGCAATCCAAAGCAACCGCTGCTGAGCAATCCTTAGCAACTGCTGAACAATTAGTCAGCATTGCTAATTAAATATTTTCGTTTACTAAAATAATGGCGGATTCAGAAAACACTCACATGGAGGAGCCTGCTGCGGCCTTGCTGCAGCCTCGGCCAGAGCAGGTGACTTTAAAAATACCAACTACTACACCTGTGAAAGAAAAAAACCTGAAACGGGTGGCTGTGGGAAAAGCCTTACAAGAGAAAGGAAGAAAGGTGCATGAAGAACAGAAAAAAGCTGCAGAAGCCACTGTAGCTGTGGGCCTCGTTCCTCCTCTCACTGGTGGTTAAAGTGTAGATGCTTCGACTAGATGAAGCAATGAGCGTCCAATGAAGACACAAAAAACGTTATCAGCATGATCTCATTGGCTCAGTATAATCAGCATTGTGGTTTCTGTCATTGAAATTTACTACAAACGTGAAGAGATAAAAAAGGTTTTCACGCCACAGCAACCTGCCCCACCTTGACTAGTCGAGGGAACACCACAAGCCCATACTGTGGATACGCAGCAGCCAAGCCAGCCGATCCAAAGAAGAGAGCTCCACTCAATGGATTGACATTTGAAAAGAAAATGCACAGCTCAATACGATGTCGGACAACAAGCTTGTTAAAACGATCATGGATGCGGCCATTCTTACCAGCTTAGCTGCCGGCATCAGCTGGATCGCGAAAAAGGTGGTGAAAGAGAACTTTATTGCTGACCCCAGCGGCAGCGCCATGAACTATGCAAAATTCACAGTTGTCCTAGCAGGCAGCATCGCTTTACCTTGAAGACAAAAAGATCCTCCCAACCTCGGTTTAAAAAAAGAAACGTTGCTTTAATGATGGCAAGCGTTGTGATGATGATCGGAGGGGCAATTCTTAATGCAGCTGCTTTTACTGGCGGCAACTATCTTGCCAAATATTTGTCTGGCGACAGCGGGAATGCGGTGTTGGATGAAAAAAAGCGGCACAACAAAGCCCTTGAAGCTTATCAGACCGCTATAGCCCAATACACCTGCGACCACACCAAGCTTCTTGATTGGATTCAAACCAACAGAGAAGTCAAAGAACAGGGGAAGCAGAACTTCACGAACACCGATTATGCATTCAAACTCTATAACCAGGCCCACTCAGACAAGCAAATTGCCCCGCCCAAAGGGCCCTGCTGCTGACTTTTATCAGCCCAGTGATCAGCAGAAACAAGGCGAGCTGCTTTTTGTGGACGGCAGCGCTCTTGCTCTCGGCTACACGGCTTTTCCTTTTCTTTAAAAATGCTTGCATTTTCAGTTCGAATAAACGCCTTGCTTCCACATATGGACGTCAAGCTTGCCAAAGTCTACTACAGCCCTCAGGGCTATCGGAAAGGCGTTGCTGCCATCCAAAAATTAGCGGATGCTGCACAAGTCCCTGAAGAAAGCGCTACACAGTGGCTCATCAAACAAGCACTTTGGCAGATCTATCTCCCTGCGCTGCGCTACATTTCTCGCCCCAAATTCGATGTATTGGTGCCTAATGCGGTCCACCAAGCAGACCTTCTTTTTCTGCCTCACGACAAGCTTCCTCGTGGGCATAAAATTTACAAATGCGCACTGACTGCTGTTGACGTTTCCAGCCGTTACAAAGAGGCTGAACCTCTGACCTCCAAAGACTCTGCAGAGATTGCAAAAACTTTTCGGTCAATTTACAAGCACAGCCCTTTGACGTGGCCTCAGCTACTGTAGGTCAACCCTGGGTGCGAGTTCATGGGAAGCGTGAAAAACCACAAAACAGCTATTCCTCACGCGTGCCCTGAAATTCACAGAGACCAAGCTATCATGGAAAGTTTCAACTGCACACTCGCCGAGCGCTTGTTCGGGCATCAGTATGCCATAGAAATACCGCTGCCTTCTGGCCAGCGGTTGACTGCGTGGGTCAAAAGGCCCTCTGACGTTGCTGCTGCTGTGAACGGCGAGGTCACTAGTTTTATCGGGAAAAAAACAGCTGTCGCAATCAAAGAGAAATCTGTCACCTCCAAACCCTCTACAAAGTATTCCAGACCTGTTGGCTTGAAAGAAGAAAAGCTCTCCCCACTCATCAATGTAAGATATTTGTATCAGCCCAGGGAACTTGAAGGGAAGACTAAAAGGGCCACAGATCCAGTCTGGTCTTTAAAAGTATACCATCTTGAAAGAGCTGTGACTAAACCAAATGAGCTTGTTGTCTCTTATTTGTCTGTAGGGCCTAAGCGCAGCTTTGTTTGCGAAGAGCTGTTGGTTGTGCCGCCAAATACACAGCTTCCGCCCAAAAAAGTCTGTGCCTGATGATGTCTTTGTGCCCATATGCCAGTGTGTGCACACTGTCGTCTGGTATCCACTGCTACGTGTCAAACTCTGACAGTGTGACCTTGTCCACACGCATGCCATAGATCTCGTGGCCCTCGCTTTGCAAGATGTTCATCCCGTGCCAGAACTGCTTTTTTCTCAAACAGTGCCTCTTTGTATTGCTCATGCTGGATCTATATTTCTACCACGTTCTTTTTTACTCCCTTGGCTTTCTTGACATTTTTTCTTTTTCTTCTTTGATCAAATACATTTTTGACCGTATAGCCACTGCTTCATCAATCACCCTTCCTGCACACTCATCTTTCATCTTCCCCAGCACTTTTTTGTTTTTGCTGCTGTAGAGCAGGTGCTCTTTGGGATAATTGCTTGTATCATACAGGAGGAGGTCTTCTGCTATGTCTCTGTAGACGTCGTCCATCTCGATTTCCATGAGTAGGCTGTAAGTGTCTGTGTAAATCAACTCACACTTGGGGCCATACCGGGCTTTAATCTGGTTGTAAAAGAAGTCGTACATCAAAATCTTGCTGTCCTCTAAGATCGTCATGCCGGAGTATATTGGCTTCTCCAAGAGCAGCCGCGTTTTGTGCATGTGGATGCCTGCCAGTTTGTTTCCAAATATCTTGTACCTTGCATACGAGGGGCTGGCCACCAGGTGGCGGATATTGTTGGTCTCCCAGCTGCGGACGATCTTCACGTTGATGGGGTTTCTCAGGTTTTCCATCATTTTGCTGAACACCAAGCTGTTCATCAGTTTGTAGAAGTTGGTCTCGAGTTTGCTCTTCGCTTCTTTCCTGAACTCCGTGTTGATCTGGATGTAGGGCTCCATTCATAGCTCCTGGTCGAACTCCATCACTCGGTGGCCCTTTTTCAAACGCATCCCCTGGCTGAGATAAAACTGCAGGTGTTAGTAATGGACGACGCAATTGCTTTTGTCCTCCAGCGTGAGTACAAGTTTCTCGCTGTTCACGAAGGCAAGTCAAGACCCAGATCATCCATCATTCTTTTTTGATATTCTGACATCTTCTCCACCCCTATTGCCTTTTTCTGTGACACAAGAGGATAGCTGTCGTGGGCTTTGTGGAGTTCCTCCGGATACTCCAAGTCCACCTCCAAGACCCACCCTTTCTTTGAATTTTCTTTCACTTTCATGACTTGCTCTTGCATGGGCATCACTCTCTTCCACTTGAACCCTCCTTTGGGCAGCGGCACTCTCATTGCCAAGCCGTACAGGTTGTTCGCGTCCAGGTATGTGATGAATTTAGAAGGCTTGGTGGGGTCGTAGCTGGTGGCCCGTGGGTTGTTGGTCTTTGCGTACTGCTTGCGCGCCATCAAGATGCCGCCCCACATGCCTTTTTTGACGAACAGATGCATGTCCATGTCGGTCAAAAGCTCTAGCTCTACAGCGGTCTTTTTCAGCAGTGCATCCCGGCTCAGAACGGGGCTGTGTAACAATGTGCTGGATCTAGCTCGCACCTTCCCATACAGACTTTTTGGAAGTTTTTGAACATGTCTGCCAGCAGCACGACGTCGGTATTCACATATAGATCGTGATAGTTGCCGAGGGTTTTGAATCCGAACTCGGCTCAGACCTTCTTCGCGTGGGCGTACTCTTCGTTGGTTATCCCTTTCCCCGCCAGCTTTGAGAAGAACTCTTCTTTGGCCAGGAGCTCTGTCTCAGCGAACTTTTTAAAGCTGTCCATGTATTCGTAAAGATAAATCCCTTTCTTCAGGAGCAGCTTCCTCTTTTCAATGTCTCCGTAAGTTTTTTCTGTTATTTTCATGTCTTCTGGTGCGCTGCCCTTCACCAGCGCATCTAAGCTGCTCATCATAAAATTTAAGCTGTCTATGAACTTCAGGTTTCCAAGTGAAAAGGAGATGTATTTTTCTGTGCTGTTTGGGATACAGCTTATTTCCCCCTGCACCTGTGCCATGGCCTCCATCAGGAGGTGTCCGTTGTACCCTTGCAGGTTGTAGAAACTACTGGGATCGGTGTCTTTTTGGAGTTCAAGTGTAGCTTGAAGTTGCAGGCTTATGCACCCCCCCCAATATTTCCCTGTGATGTGGCAGTGGTCTTTCACTGAGTCTTTGTAGTTGTTCAGCAACAGCAGCACTTTGCAACATATGCAGTCTTTGTTCTCTTTTTGGGCCCTTTGGGCTATCTCTCTCTCAGAGGCCCCACAAACCCCTTCCTGGCCTGGTATAGCACCTATTGTGGCTTTGACCGTGGTACTTGCGGGTGTTGTGGTTGTACACATCAAATGAGTCTCAGAACTCTGCCTTTACCAGACTTTCGTTGCAGATGTGGATTCGGTCATGCTGTTGTGTCGGTGCCGGTCTTCCAACATCATCACGAGTGGCTTTTTGTTGGCCAGCTTGGCCCTCATCAGCTTTTCATCGTTCAGGAGGCTCACCAAGAACTTGTACACTGCGTCTTTCCCACGGCACACGAACGGGCCGTGCGTCTGGCTGTCGCTTTTCGCGATTATGTACGAAAAGCCGCAGGGCTCGTGGACCTCTGTTTTGATTGTTGCCTGACCTTTTTTCNAACTACTGGAGACATGAGACTTCCCCCAGGCCTTCGAGCCACTAACAAGGGGTAAGCTTCTGTTTTACCCACTGGAAAAAGAAGAAAGAAACATGTAGTTAAACTGAGTATGGGCTGATCATGCTTCTAATTAATACAGTTCACTATTTCACAGAGAATTCATACTTCGTGGGTCAGTGGAAAAGTGAATTGCAGTATTGCTCTCATTGGTTCCAGTAGCACATTTGTAAAGCTTTGGATTTTACTTTAAAGTTGCATCGTTAGATGCATAACTGCATGTACATAACTGCACATATATTAACACACGTGTATAAGGGGGGTTCTTGATCAAACAAATCTCGGCCTTATAAGATGCCTTGCTTTGCTCGGCGTCTTGGAGCCCAAGTTGTTTGAGTCCAGAACCCCCCTATACAAGTGTGTTAACTGTCCGTGCGATTATTGATCTAGGATTATTTTTCAATTGAACAAGCCGCCTGCCTTGGTATAAAGCAATCATGGCCGCGTCAAGGTTTTCAGCCAATTAAACACGCCAACGGTTTTGGTATAAATGGCTGCCATCTGCACCCACAAGGAACTGACAGCCGATTTTGCCGAAAGGTGTAACGAGGTAAATGAAGCCCTCGAAGAAACGTACACCCGCTTAGAAGAGCTCGAAGATTCTAACAAAATTTTAAGAAGCTTTGCTGCTTTTGAAGCAGGGTTTTTGGCTGTGAGGATGGCGATCGCTGTGATGAGGCTAGCTTTCGGCCTTGACAAAACAGAAAGCAATTGAAGCTTGGCGAGTCTTAGCTATAACAGAATGGGCCACGGAAGAAGAGGGCCAGTTGATCAAAGCTAAAAGAAGAAGCCTTGTGATGGCTGAAGTCATGAGTCTTCTGGAAGCTGAACCTGACTCGAAGAGTCAGCCAGGGCCTGACATTCCAGCCCTTCGTGAAGAGCTTACAATTCTGGTTTCCACAGGCAAAGCAAAAGAAGCCATCGGCATGCAGCTGACACAAGAGCAGGTTAAGTGCTTGGAAGATAAAGATGTTGAAAAGTACTACAAAAGGTACGAGACTTATGTGGGTGCCAAGACCACTCAAGCCTTTGTTGATAGTTGTCTCTTGTTGTACACCAGGGCAGTTGGGATGTTTGTGCCAATTAAAGAAGTTGAAGCTTTGCAGAATAATCTTAAAAAAGATTATGTCATCACCAAAGAGTTGTCCACCCTTGTCAGAAGTCTTGCATTGAGATGTGGGCGGCTGCTTAAGGTAGCCAACACGGTGCTGATCACAACAAAACATAGAGATTTTGAGCAATCCTCAGCAACTGCTGCTGAGCAATCCAAAGCAACCGCTGCTGAGCAATCCTTAGCAACTGCTGAACAATTAGTCAGCATTGCTAATTAAATATTTTCGTTTACTAAAATAATGGCGGATTCAGAAAACACTCACATGGAGGAGCCTGCTGCGGCCTTGCTGCAGCCTCGGCCAGAGCAGGTGACTTTAAAAATACCAACTACTACACCTGTGAAAGAAAAAAACCTGAAACGGGTGGCTGTGGGAAAAGCCTTACAAGAGAAAGGAAGAAAGGTGCATGAAGAACAGAAAAAAGCTGCAGAAGCCACTGTAGCTGTGGGCCTCGTTCCTCCTCTCACTGGTGGTTAAAGTGTAGATGCTTCGACTAGATGAAGCAATGAGCGTCCAATGAAGACACAAAAAACGTTATCAGCATGATCTCATTGGCTCAGTATAATCAGCATTGTGGTTTCTGTCATTGAAATTTACTACAAACGTGAAGAGATAAAAAAGGTTTTCACGCCACAGCAACCTGCCCCACCTTGACTAGTCGAGGGAACACCACAAGCCCATACTGTGGATACGCAGCAGCCAAGCCAGCCGATCCAAAGAAGAGAGCTCCACTCAATGGATTGACATTTGAAAAGAAAATGCACAGCTGAATACGATGTCGGACAACAAGCTTGTTAAAACGATCATGGATGCGGCCATTCTTACCAGCTTAGCTGCCGGCATCAGCTGGATCGCGAAAAAGGTGGTGAAAGAGAACTTTATTGCTGACCCCAGCGGCAGCGCCATGAACTATGCAAAATTCACAGTTGTCCTAGCAGGCAGCATCGCTTTACCTTGAAGACAAAAAGATCCTCCCAACCTCGGTTTAAAAAAAGAAACGTTGCTTTAATGATGGCAAGCGTTGTGATGATGATCGGAGGGGCAATTCTTAATGCAGCTGCTTTTACTGGCGGCAACTATCTTGCCAAATATTTGTCTGGCGACAGCGGGAATGCGGTGTTGGATGAAAAAAAGCGCCACAACAAAGCCCTTGAAGCTTATCAGACCGCTATAGCCCAATACACCTGTGACCACACCAAGCTTCTTGATTGGATTCAAACCAACAGAGAAGTCAAAGAACAGGGGAAGCAGAACTTCACGAACACCGATTATGCATTCAAACTCTATAACCAGGCCCACTCAGACGAGCAAATTGCCCCGCCCAAAGGGCCTTGCTGCTGACTTTTATCAGCCCAGTGATCAGCAGAAACAAGGCAAGCTGCTTTTTGTGGATGGCAGCGCTCTTGCTCTCGGCTACACGGCTTTTCCTTTTCTTTAAAAATGCTTGCATTTTCAGTTCGAATAAACGCCTTGCTTCCACATATGGACGTCAAGCTTGCCAAAGTCTACTACAGCCCTCAGGGCTATCGGAAAGGCGTTGCTGCCATCCAAAAATTAGCGGATGCTGCACAAGTCCCTGAAGAAAGCGCTACACAGTGGCTCATCAAACAAGCACTTTGGCAGATCTATCTCCCTGCGCTGCGCTACATTTCTCGCCCCAAATTCGATGTATTGGTGCCTAATGCGGTCCACCAGGCAGACCTTCTTTTTCTGCCTCACGACAAGCTTCCTTGTGGGCATAAAATTTACAAATGCGCACTGACTGCTGTTGGCCTTCTGGCCAGCGGTTGACTGCATGGGTCAAAAGGCCCTCCGATGTTGCTGCTGCTGTGAACGGCGAGGTCACTAGTTTTATCGGGAAAAAAACAGCTGTCGCAATCAAAGAGAAATCTGTCACCTCCAAACCCTCTACAAAGTATTCCAGACCTGTTGGCTTGAAAGAAGAAAAGCTCTCCCCACTCATCAATGTAAGATATTTGTATCAGCCTAGGGAACTTGAAGGGAAGACTAAAAGGGCCACAGATCCAGTCTGGTCTTTAAAAGTATACCATCTTGAAAGAGCTGTGACTAAACCAAATGAGCTTGTTGTCTCTTATTTGTCTGTAGGGCCTAAGCGCAGCTTTGTTTGCGAAGAGCTGTTGGTTGTGCCGCCAAATACACAGCTTCCGCCCAAAAAAGTCTGTGCCTGATGATGTCTTTGTGCCCATATGCCAGTGTGTGCACACTGTCGTCTGGTATCCACTGCTACGTGTCAAACTCTGACAGTGTGACCTTGTCCACACGCATGCCATAGATCTCGTGGCCCTCGCTTTGCAAGATGTTCATCCCGTGCCAGAACTGCTTTTTTCTCAAACAGTGCCTCTTTGTATTGCTCATGCTGGATCTATATTTCTACCACGTTCTTTTTTACTCCCTTGGCTTTCTTGACATTTTTTCTTTTTCTTCTTTGATCAAATACATTTTTGACCGTATAGCCACTGCTTCATCAATCACCCTTCCTGCACACTCATCTTTCATCTTCCCCAGCACTTTTTTGTTTTTGCTGCTGTAGAGCAGGTGCTCTTTGGGATAATTGCTTGTATCATACAGGAGGAGGTCTTCTGCTATGTCTCTGTAGACGTCGTCCATCTCGATTTCCATGAGTAGGCTGTAAGTGTCTGTGTAAATCAACTCACACTTGGGGCCATACCGGGCTTTAATCTGGTTGTAAAAGAAGTCGTACATCAAAATCTTGCTGTCCTCTAAGATCGTCATGCCGGAGTATATTGGCTTCTCCAAGAGCAGCCGCGTTTTGTGCATGTGGATGCCTGCCAGTTTGTTTCCAAATATCTTGTACCTTGCATACGAGGGGCTGGCCACCAGGTGGCGGATATTGTTGGTCTCCCAGCTGCGGACGATCTTCACGTTGATGGGGTTTCTCAGGTTTTCCATCATTTTGCTGAACACCAAGCTGTTCATCAGTTTGTAGAAGTTGGTCTCGAGTTTGCTCTTCGCTTCTTTCCTGAACTCCGTGTTGATCTGGATGTAGGGCTCCATTCATGGCTCCTGGTCGAACTCCATCACTCGGTGGCCCTTTTTCAAACGCATCCTCTGGCTGAGATAAAACTGCAGGTGTTAGTAATGGACGACACAATTGCTTTTGTCCTCCAGCGTGAGTACAAGTTTCTCGCTGTTCACGAAGGCAAGTCAAGACCCAGATCATCCATCATTCTTTTTTGATATTCTGACATCTTCTCCACCCCTATTGCCTTTTTCTGTGGCACAAGAGGATAGCTGTCGTGGGCTTTGTGGAGTTCCTCCGGATACTCCAAGTCCACCTCCAAGACCCACCCTTTCTTTGAGTTTTCTTTCACTTTCATGACTTGCTCTTGCATGGGCATCACTCTCTTCCACTTGAACCCTCCTTTGGGCAGCGGCACTCTCATTGCCAAGCCGTACAGGTTGTTCGCGTCCAGGTATGTGATGAATTTAGAAGGCTTGGTGGGGTCGTAGCTGGTGGCCCGTGGGTTGTTGGTCTTTGCATACTGCTTGCGCGCCATCAAGATGCCGCCCCACATGCCTTTTTTGATGAACAGATGCATGTCCATGTCGGTCAAAAGCTCTAGCTCTACAGCGGTCTTTTTCAGCAGTGCATCCCAGCTCAGAACGGGGCTGTGTAACAATGTGCTGGATCTAGCTCGCACCTTCCCATACAGACTTTTTGGAAGTTTTTGAACATGTCTGCCAGCAGCACGACGTCGGTATTCACATATAGATCGTGATAGTTGCCGAGGGTTTTGAATCCGAACTCGGCTCAGACCTTCTTCGCGTGGGCGTACTCTTCGTTGGTTATCCCTTTCCCCGCCAGCTTTGAGAAGAACTCTTCTTTGGCCGGGAGCTCTGTCTCAACGAACCTTTTAAAGCTGTCCATGTATTCGTAAAGATAAATCCCTTTCTTCAGGAGCAGCTTCCTCTTTTCAATGTCTCCGTAAGTTTTTTCTGTTATTTTCATGTCTTCTGGTGCGCTGCCCTTCACCAGCGCATCTAAGCTGCTCATCATAAAATTTAAGCTGTCTATGAACTTCAGGTTTCCAAGTGAAAAGGAGATGTATTTTTCTGTGCTGTTTGGGATACAGCTTATTTCCCCCTGCACCTGTGCCATGGCCTCCATCAGGAGGTGTCCGTTGTACCCTTGCAGGTTGTAGAAACTACTGGGATCGGTGTCTTTTTGGAGTTCAAGTGTAGCTTGAAGTTGCAGGCTTATGCACCCCCCCCAATATTTCCCTGTGATGTGGCAGTGGTCTTTCACTGAGTCTTTGTAGTTGTTCAGCAACAGCAGCACTTTGCAACATATGCAGTCTTTGTTCTCTTTTTGGGCCCTTTGGGCTATCTCTCTCTCAGAGGCCCCACAAACCCCTTCCTGGTCTGGTATAGCACCTATTGTGGCTTTGACCGTGGTACTTGTGGGTGTTGGGGTTGTACACATCAAATGAGTCTCAGAACTCTGCCTTTACCAGACTTTCGTTGCAGATGTGGATTCGGTCATGCTGTTGTGTCGGTGCCGGTCTTCCAACATCATCACGAGTGGCTTTTTGTTGGCCAGCTTGGCCCTCATCAGCTTTTCATCGTTCAGGAGGCTCACCAAGAACTTGTACACTGCGTCTTTCCCACGGCACACGAACGGGCCGTGTGTCTGGCTGTCGCTTTTCGCGATTATGTACGAAAAGCCGCAGGGCTCGTGGACCTCTGTTTTGATTGTTGCCTGACCTTTTTTCGGACAGCCGTGGATCTTCTTTAGCAACGATTCAAAGTCGGCATACACCATGAATGGAGCTTTCATCTGCTCATGGTGGTTCTTGAACTTGACTTTGTTTTTGCCCTCTTTGGGCAACTCTGTCCTTGTTGGCCTTTTCAGCTGCCCCATGCATTCGGGTTTGTGCCTTTCCAGCAGCTCCTTTCTTGAGTTCCGTGCAAGCAGCATTCGCAGAAATGTTTGCCCTTGTTGTGCCTATTTTGGATGTACAAGAGAGCATTTAACCTTTTCACATAGCTGTAGTGCCCATATATCAGCATCAAGTTGATCCTTGTAATGCTGCCCTATTTTTCGTTTAGTCTATGCACGATCACGCAGTCTTCTTCCAAGCCAAACACGTTTATGACCAAAAGCGGGTTTTATTTTTTAAGGTTTATTAATCTGTGATACGGGCATCTGAAAGTCTATTTCTGTGAAATTCAACCCGTCTTCTGTGGGATATCTTGACGTTCTTGTCACATTTTGGCCATCTGCCGGTGGAAATAATGCTGCTCGTAAAGCCCATCTCAAGCACTGGTTGTCTCGGTTTTGGACATTGATGACTGCTTTTTTTTGTAGCTTTTGGGGGAGCAGAATGTAGCTGCCCCCTCAGAATGGCTGGTATTGAGCGACATTGATGAATGCTTCCAAAACATCTTCCACAATCCAGCCTGATCCTCTTTGAGACCAGGCTTCTATTTCACCTTTGACTTCATTGATGAATCGGCAAAATACGCTATTCACTGCTGTCACGTTGTTTCTGTGTAAAACCGCAGGGTCTCTGTTTGAAATAGTGCTCCATTTCTTGTTTTTCACCATCTCTAGCTTTCGAAAACTTAACGTTAAGTGCAAACTGTGTTTTGACGCATTTTAGGGTTTGGATTTCATTTTCTATCACTTCGCTTGACTTCTTGATTTTGTTTTTTGTGGGAATTTCAGAGGGTCGGCTTTGAATTTATAGGCTTCTGGAACTTTCATTTTCCACACACGAAGCCATTCACTAAAGTTTGTTCTTACCAACTCAAAATCAAAAGCCCTCCTGGGTCTGATAGGGGGCCTTAGCCGTGCATTTTCTTCACCTGAAATCGGTCCGTAAAACATCTCTATCATGTCAGATGAAAATCCTGACGCAGCCATGGTTGCTTTATACCAAGGCAGACAGCTTGTTCAATTGGAAAATAATCCTAGATCAATAATCGCACGGACAGTTAACATGCATGAATAAGGGGGGTTCTGGACTCAAAGAACTTGGGCTCCAAGGCGCTGAGCAAAGCGAGGCATCTTATAAGGCTGAGATTTGTTTGATCCAGAACCCCCCTGATACATGTGTGTTCATATTTTGTAACGTCTAGTCCCCAGAGAAACACTGAAACTTACTGACAAGAGCTAGACTTGTAATAATGACCAGATCAATGTACAAGAACTGCCAGTCACTAAGGTTTGAAGAAATCTGTTCAGATGAAAATTGATGTAGTGTTTAGAAATAAAACAATGGTGTATTGTAACACATGAAAACAATAATTATGCTTTACAAAGCACTTATCTAGGTTTGGGTGATTATCTTCTTTTCCTTTACTGGTAAAACATCACCTTAAGAGTCCCTGTCCATAAATATGGAAAATAACTCGGCAAGGGTCGAAAATTTGATTTCGTTCATATTTTTACTGTAGATAGGCTAGGGCATGATAAAAACTACTGGATAGTTTTTTTGGCAAAATATCCTTTTATTTCAAAGAAATATGCAAATTACCAAATTCCGTTAAGA